GAATTTAACTGTTGTCAATGCAAAATTACTATATAGAATTAACTGCAAAATCATGTATTGCAATAGTTCTACATTTTGGCCAATAGAGAAAAATGATGAAGATTTCTATGATAGTGTTCAAATTTTCTTCTATCCTTTTTAATGTATATTGAAGACATAAAAAAATTATAATTTGCCTTCAATCTTGTAGTAGTTCAATTTCTCCATCTGTGATATTCATGCACATACGAACTTCTTAAAGTAGGTTGTTAACTAAAATATGTTATTAGGTTGTTCATTCTGTGTCAATTAATTTTTCTTTATGGCAATTACTAAATCTCATTCTGCTTTCTTACCGTTATATTTCATGTCAACAATCATTTTTATTTCATCTTAATCAAATGGGTTGAGGTTCTCATTACTCATCAAATATAAAATAGATTCGTATACATTTTTAGTGTTGAGGAGTGCTCTTACTAATTGTGTGTTTTTTTTTTTTTTAATCCTTTTGTCTCATATTTCTTTAGTTTTGATTCTCAAGCAGATACTTAGGTTGGGAAGTCTTTCCCTTGCAATTCTTTATTAGTTTCCTACTTTGTTTCTTGAATTGTAGTGGGTTAATTAATGAACTCTCTCAGATTTCTTTAATGCTTTGGAATTTTCATGTTTGGTCTTGGAATTTCCAATAATTATATTAAACATTAAGCTTTTAATGTTTGGTTTAAAAAAAAAAATCTAATATAGTGTGTATAATTATGTATCTTGGTATATAGCTGTTCAATTTCTAGAGAATACTTATGTGTCTTTTTTTTTATTTAAATAATAGGAATGTATGATGAATTATGTGAATACTTACTCTTTTTTTTTTTAATAATGATATACAAGCTCATTTTTCATACCCACTTTATTTTTTTTGGATTCTCTCTCTCTCTCTCTTTGTCTCAGTTTGGTTGTTGATTGTTGAGAGAGAGAGAGAGAGAAGAAAAGGAAGTTTGAATCTTATACATTGTTTGGTATCTAAGAAAAGGAAGGAAAAGGAAATTGAAAGTTTTAACTTTCTTCACTGTTTCACTGCTTATAAAACATATAATTAAAAACAAATAAATAAATAAATATAACTTTTGAATGGACAATATGAAAAAATGAGTGAAGGAAATATATTTATGATTAAATAAGCTACTGTGTCGTGTAACTCATTGGAGTAAATAAGCTGCTGTGTAGTATAATTTTTATGAGAGTATTGAAAAAGGCATTTGTAATTGTATAGATAAGGCAAAAGATGTTTGTACTTATCCAGTGTCAGTGTGGTGAGACTTTTTATAAATTTTTATTGTAGTCTTTTACTCTTCTTTTTTTTTTTCACATTTTAAAATGCAAAATTAGTAATTAAATTTCTATATTGAAGTTTTGTTAAAAATTTTTTTTGCCTTAGTAGTATAATTTATATTTTTTTATAATTTATTTATTTACTTTTTTTTTGTGGTATATATTAGTTGTTAGTACGAAAAGTAGGCAATACAATCGATAAGAATTTAACTGTTGTCAATGCAAAATTACTATATAGAATCAAGCACAAAATCATTTATTGCGATAGTTCTACATTTTGGCTAATAGAGAAAACTGATGAAGATTTCTATGACAATATTTAATTTTTCTTCTATCCTTTTTAATGTATGTTAAAGACATTAAAAAATTATAATTTATCTTCTATCCTGTAGTAGTTCAATTTCCTCATCTGTGATATTCGTGCAATGATGTACTTCTTAAAATAGGTTGTTAACTAAAACATGTTATGAGGTTGTTAATTCTGTGTCGATTAATTTTTCTTTATGGCAATTATTAAACCTCATTCTGCCTTCTTACAATTATATTTCATGTCAGCAATTATTTTTATTTCATGTTAATCAAATGGGTTGAGGTTCTCATTAATCATCAATGGTCATATTCTTATTCGTCAAACATGAAAATAGAATCGTGTACATTTTTAGTGTTGAGGAGTGCTCTTACTAATTGTGTTTTTCTTTTTATCCTTTTGTCTCAGATTTCTTTAATTTTGCCTCTCAAGCAGATACTCAGGTTAGGAAGTCTTTCCCTTGCAATTCTTTATTAGTTCCTCGCTTTCTTTTCCGAATTGCAGTGGGTTAATGAATGTTCTAGATTAATGAATGAACTCTCTCAGGTTTCTTTAGTACTTTGGAATTTTCATGTCTGGTCTTTGAATTTTCAATAATTAGATTAAACATTAAGCTTTTAATGTTTGGTTTAGAAAGAAGTCTAATATAGTGTATATAGTTATGTATCGTGGTATATAACTGTTAAATTTCTAGAGAATACTTATGTTTTTTTTTTTTTTTAAATAGTTGGAATGTATGATGAATTATGTGAATGCTTATGTCTTTTTTTTTTTTTTAATAATGATATACAAGTTCATTTTTTATACCCACTTTATAGACCCAGTGATGTGTCAAGAAGATGATTAGTTGATTCTTGACATATCACTGGGCCTGAATAACTATTCTTTATTTATTAAAGTAGGTCTAACTTTTGGGCCTAAATAACTTTTGGTTGATTCTTGATTCAGTAAAGTAGGTCTAACTTTTGGGCTTGAATAATTATTATTTATCTATTTATTTATTTTTTACAAATATTTTGTTACAGTTTAATTTTGTAATATGATAGGTCTTTTTTTTTTTTTTCCCATCTCTCTTAGGTTGTATTTGGATTTAGGATTTGAAGGGAATTTGTTGATTGAAAGGAAAATGAAACATTAAAAAGTTAACCCTTTTTATTTGATGACCTTTTTTTTTTTGCTTTTAGTGAACTGTTTTTAATTTGATTTTTTAATTGAACTGCTATTTTAAAATGTTTACGCTTCTCTCTCTCTAAAAATTTAGCTTTTTAAATATTAATTTTGCAAATTTTTTTTTTAAAAAAATACTTTTTAAAGTAGGTAATTCTGTGTCAATTAATTGTTTTTTATGGCAATTATTAAATCTCATTCTGCGTTCTTACAGTTATATTTCGTGTCAACAATCATTTTTATTTCATCTTAATCAAATGGGTTGAGGTTTTCATTAATCATTAATGGTCATATTCTTATTCCTCAAATATGAAAATATATTCGTGTACATTTTTAGTATTGAGGAGTGCTCTTACTAATTGTGTTTTTCTGTTTATCCTTCTGTCTCAGATTCTTTTAATTTTGCTTCTCAAGCAGATACTCAGGTTAGGAAGTCTCTCCCTTGCAATTCTTTATTAGTTCCTTGCTTTCTTTTTTCGAATTGCAGTGGGTTAATGAATGTTCTGGATTAATGAATGAACTCCCTTAGATTTCTTTAATGCTCTGGAATTTTTATGTTTGGTCTTCGAATTTTCAATAATTAGATTACACATTAAGCTTTTAATGTTTGGTTTAGAAAGAAGTCTAATATAGTGTATATAGTTATGTATCTTGGTATATAGCTGTTCAATTTCTAGAGAATACTTTTTTTTTTTTGGAATGTATGATGAATTATGTGAATACTTATGTCTTCTTTTTTTTTTAATAATGATATACAAGTTCATTTTTTATACCCATTTTATAGGCCCAGTGATGTGTTAAGAAGATGATTGGTTGATAATTAGATAATATTTAATTATCAACCAGTCCTCATCTTAATATGTCACTGGACCTATAAAATAAGTCTAACTTCTGGGCCTGAATAACTATTCTTTTTTTTTTTGTTATGTTATGTTATGTTAAATTTTTACAAAGATTTTGTTACAGTTTAATTTTGTAATATGATAGGTCTTTTTTTTTTCTTTTTTTTTTCATCATCTCTCTTAGGCTGTATTTGGATTTAGGATTTGAAGGGAATTTGTTGATTGAAAGGAAAAGGGAATATTAAAAAGTTAATCCTTTTTATTTGATAACCTTTATTTTTTTTGCTTTTAGTGAATTGTTTTTAATTTGCTTTTTTATTGAACTTCTATTTTAAAATATTTAGGCTTCTCTCTCTTTAAAAAGAGTCCAGTTTATTTAGCTTTTTCAATTTATTTTTGGAATTTTTCAAACAAAAAAAAGACTTTTTAGATGTTTATCAGGACTTTTGAAAAAACTGAAACTTATTTTAAAAATTTATTTTAATAATTTTTTAATGATTTTTATGAGAGTATTACTCCTTGGAGTAAATAAGCTACTGTGTAATATACTTTTTTGAAAAAGGCATTTGCAATTATACAGATAATACAAAAGGTATTTGTAATTTTATAGTTATAGTGTGGTGAGCCTTTTTATAAATTTTTATTGTAATTTTTTACTTATTTTGTTTTCACATTTTAAAATTCAAATTTAGTAATTAAATTTCTGTAATTAAGTTTTGCTAAAATTTTATTCATTAGTATAATTTATATTTTTTTATAATTTACTTAGTTGTTAGTAGGAAAAATGGGCAATGCAATCCATAAGAATTAACCTTTGTCAGTGCAAAGTTACTATATAGAATCAACCACAAAATCATGTATTGCAATAGTTCTACATTTTGGCCAATAGAGAAAAATTATGAAGATTTCTATGAGAGTATTTAATTTTTCTTCTATCCTTTTTAATGTATATTGAAGACATAAAAAAATTATAATTTTTCTTCCATCCTGTAGTAGGTCAATTTCTCCATCTGTGATATTCATGCACAAACGAACTTCTTAAACTAGGTTGTTAACTAAAATATGTTAGGAGGTTGTTAATTTTGTAGTGATTAATTTTTCTTTATGGCAATTATTAAACCTCATTTTGCCTTCATATAGTTATCTTTGTCAAATTTACATAACCAGGCACTTTCAAGTTGAGACACCATTGACCTTCAACCGCTAATTATGAATAACATTACTATTTTTGGTCACGTAAGTTGTTTTCTTTTTTATTTATTTGAAAAAAAAAACATTTTTCTTATAAGCCAAAGTCAATTTTCTTTTCTTTTCATAATTTTTTATCTAATTTCTTATAAAAAATGCTCTTTTCTTATAATTTACAGATGGATGGAGACCTATGTCGAACTGTAATACTGGCTCCTTTTACTCATTTTCTTGAATGTATAATTTTTTTTTTACCTCTAATTATTTTGTATTTTTAGGTCCAATTTCTTCAAGAAAGAAATGTTAATGTTGTTATCCGTGATGAGCGTGACCTTAATGTCATCCGTGTTCGAGAGGTAGGCCCAATTTAATTATATAGATTTTTTTTATTCAAAACATTGTATACACCGTATATTCGTATTTATATATTTTTTAAAAACTTTCTACATATATATTTTTTCTTTATTCTTTAAAAAATTTCTTTATTTTTTGTAGGCAAAAGAAAAGGAAATTGCCAAGGCATTGTTGAAGAAAAACGAAAAGACCATCGTTTTGGGCAAGGGAAAGGAAAATGCATGTTCAGTACTATGGCTCTTCAACATTTCCATTTAAAGTTCTTTTTTTGAAATATTTATTTTGGACCATGAACCTTGATTATTATTTTTATTTTTTTTAAATGTAAAATTGACATACTACTTGCACAGTGACATATACTGTTCTTATAGTAAACAGTTTCATATAAATCTGTGAAATATTTTTTTTGAAGCATGCTAAAATAGCATTTGTACAAAAACATTATATTTGTTTTAAATTATTATTTTTTTTTTTGGCTTTTTGCTATTGACATTAACATCTACAAGAGAAGAAAAAAAGGAATAGAACAAAAAAGGAATGAGGGGAGGAGGGATACAGAATGAAAAAGTTTTCAATTTTTTACAAAATATCAGAAAGAATGGGAATTAAGATAAAGTAAATTAATAGAAATGAAAAATGAAGAGAAAAGTATAAAACAATAGATGATAATATTCATATTTTAGGCATCTTATGAAATTAATCTTCATGTTTTAGGCACATAACAATAACGTTATATCAAAAGCTGCATTGGCTCAACGTGCACGGCGAGAACGCGAAAGAAATGATAAGGCAAGCTTTTCATATCAATTAGGACAACGTTCGTGACGTGAACGAGAGAGATCGAGAGAATTGATTCCACCAAGCACAACTAATACTCCACAGGCTCAGAAAAGAGTAATGTTTACACATCTTACTTCGCCAAGAACATCTTTAGCTTCACAAAGGAATTGGTAAAACATTGTATTTAATTCTACAAATACATATTCTTATTGTTAAGATTTTTTTTTTATAAATTTTATTTTGTACACAACAAATATTTGTAGGCCTACACATGCAAGCCCATTCCTCCATGAGACTAGGAATATCGGTGTTGTTATTCGTGATGAGTGCAATCTCAGGCCTCGTTTGGGAACCCTCCCTTTTAGCCAAAAAGCCAACAACCCATACCCAAAAGTCAAAGATTCTCTTTTCTCTCTACTTTTTGCACATCTTTTCGTAAAAAGCCAAAAAATCATCCCAAACATACTAGTTTTTTTTAGCTCATATTTTAGCCAAATAGCCAAAAAGTTACTAAATTGGCCTGTTCCCAAACGAGGCCTTAATATTATCCACAATTCTAAGATAAGTATAAATATCATGTTCAACATATTATTTTTTCGTAATCTTAATAAATTCTATAAATACATGTTCTTTTTCATATTCTGAATAAATTTTATTTATTTTTGGTAGGCAAAGGAAAAGGAAAAGGCCAAGGCAATGTCTAAAGGAAAAGAAAAGGCAACTTCTTTTGACAAAGGAAAGGAAAACGCATGTCCAATGGTATATATTCAACATCTTTAAAAAAATATTTATTGAGTAAAACAAAGCCAATCATGTTATTTAAGTGAACATTGATCATGTATATTTTTAAAAATGTAAACTATGTTGTCAATTTTTTTTGTGTGCTCTTTGTTTTCTGTACACTCAAACAAAGTATTTTTAGCTCTCTTTTACATTTCCTAAAAAATAATTGTAACATTTATCAACTCCAAGAAAAACTTTATAACATCTAAGAAAAGGAACAGAGGAACATAGGCATAGAAAATATTTTTAATTTTCTTAAAATCATCATGAGGCAAGAAGAAAGAGAAAACAATAATTAAAAAACAAATTGTTATATCACAAGGCATGAAGAGGGAAAATAAAGCAAAATGGAAAAGGAAGTAGGACAAAGAAAATGTTAAAATATTCTTAAAATTATTGCAAGCCAGGAAGAAAAAGAAATAAAATAGTATACGATAATATTTGTATTTTAGGTATCAATGATATAATGTTCACATTTTAGGCACACAATGACAATGTTATATCAAAAGCTACATTGGCCCAACGTGCACGGTGAGAACGGGAAAAATCAAGAGAATGTATTCAACCGATACAAACTTCTTTAATACCGTGTCGTCGTAGTCGTGCTTGCTTGGAACTAGGAACAAAGGCAACTGAGGATACTTAGTCGGCGCAAAAACGAACAATGGTTGCACATCCTTCCACATGTTCGTTCTCAATGCCAAGCACATCTTTAGCTCCACAAAGGAATTGGTAAAAGACTGTGTTTAATTTACACAGAACCGATATTTGTAGGCCTATTCTTACAACTCCTTCCCTTCAAGAGGATCTATGTACTAATGAGGAATTAGAGGATATGCCTATGAGTCCAATGGTTGGTACTCGAGCACATATAAATTCATGTCGTCATTCTCTTGGCAAGATGGAGGTATTATGTCCTTTCTGTTCAGCATTACATTGGATGGATGAAAAATTAGTAAAATCATCTCCAAACCGTCCTCTATTCGGAACATGTTGTTCAAAAGGGAAGGTTAAGCTTCCTCTGCTTATTACACCCCCTTCACTTCTTCAAGCATTATATGATGGGAATGATGATAAATCAAAATCGTTTTGACGTTATACTCGAGTGTACAATGCAACCAATGCTTTTGCAAGTCTTGGTGCTACATTAGATCCAAGAGTACTTACTAGAAGAGGCCCTACATCATTCACTATCCATGGGGAATTGCGACATCGAACAGGATCACTACTATCACAATCAGGGCAAGATGCAGCTTATGCGCAATTGTACATTCATGACCCTGATTCAGCTTTAGAAGTTCGCAATCGTAGAAATCCTCAATTAAGAATAGATGTTCTAAAAACTATTCAAGATAGTTTATTCCAGGTTAATGCATTCGTTGCTAAATTTTGCCAGGCTCATGCAATTTTGAATCAATTAGCCTTGACAGGACGAAATTTGTCTGCTCATCTCCACTACAGTTCATCGACAGATCGACGACGGTATAACCTACCAACTATAGATGAGATTGCAGTTGTAATACCAGGTGATGGAACCAAGGTTAGTGAAATGAGAGATGTTATCTTACATCTACATGGAAATAATGAGCTAATGCAAATCAATGAATGTCATCCAACATATTTGCCATTACATTATGTTTTATTATTTCCACATGGTAAGCTTGGATGGGAACCTAAGATGAAACTGTGGGATGTTGAACATGATCGGCTTTCAACTAATCGGCTTACTCAAATGGATTTTTATAGTTATCGTTTGTTTGAACGACCCACAGAGTATTCAACAATTTTGAGAGCTGGAAAATTGTTCCAAGAGTTTTTGGTTAATGCTTGGGCCACAACTGAACAAAATAGGTTGACTTACTACATGCTTAATCAAGGGAAGATCCGTGATGAACTTTACCAAGATTTGACAGATATTGATCCAAATGACCTTCAACCCAATCAAATTGGTCAAAGGTTTGTTTTGCCATCTTCATTTCCCGGAGGTCCTAGACACATGTTTGAAATCTTTCAAGACTCAATGGCTATCACACGATACAACCAACATCCAGACATTTTTCTCACCATGACTATAAATCCTAATTGGCCAAAAATTACTTCGGCATTATTACGGCACCAAAAGCCTATTGATCATCCTGATTTAATTGCTCGTGTTTTTGAGTTAAAGAGAAAGTGCTTGATGAAGGAGATAGAAACAAACTGAGTGCTTGGTAATAAAGTTGCGCATGTTTTTACAATTGAATTCCAAAAGCGAGGCCTTCTTCATATTCATGCACTTCTATTTCTTAAGGGTTCAGACAAAATTTGAACATGTGCTTAAGTAGACAAATTGGTTTGTGCAGAATTTCTAGATCCAAAAGATAAACCTATGCTTTTTGAAACTATCAAGTGTTGTATGGTACATGGACCATGTGGTGCTCGAAATCCACAAGCACCATGTATGGAAAATGGTAAATGCACTAAGAGATACCCTCGGGCGTTCGCAGAAACAACTACTATGGATCAAGATGGATATCCTATCTATCGTCGTCGCAATAATGGTCAAGCTCATATTGTGAGGGGGAAAGAAGTTGATAACAGAGACATCATACCATACAATGTATATCTTTCTAAACGTTTCAACTGTCACATAAATGTGGAAGTTTGTGCCGGAATGAGATGCGTCAAGTATATACACAAGTGCATTTATAAGGGTTATGATCGTACAACGATGGTGTTGGGATTGATAAATAAGATCCAACAATAACTCGATGCGAGGTATATTGGACCTCCAGAAGCTGCTTGGCAAATATTTGGTTATCTATTGCATGTAGAGATACCAACAGTTATACGCTTAGCACTTCATTTACCTGGAATGCACCGCGTTCTTTTTAATCCTGATAAATCATTAGAAGCAATTGTTTCTAGAGCTGGCCAACAAATGTCAACTCTTACTGGTTTTTTTGCATGTTGCGCTTCTATGGAAGATGAATGTCCATTCACTTACCAAGAATTTCCACAACATTTTGTTTGGCTTAATTCAGAAAAGAGATGGAAACTAAGGCAGCAAGGCTATGCAATCGGTAGACTGTACTTTGCTAGCCCTAATTGTGGTGAGAGATTTTATTTGCGTTTGCTATTAACTGTTGTCAAAGGACCAAAATTGTTTCAATGTTTACGCACGGTCAACAATGTTTTGCATGATACGTTTAAATCAGCATGTGTTGCAAGAGGACTTTTAGAAGATGATGAAGAATGGATACAATGCCTTAAAGGAGCTGCAATTATGAAAACTGGTTATCAATTAAGGAGATTGTTTACTATTATTCTTACTCAGTGTTCTTCACTGCAACCACATGCGTTATGGAATCAATTTTCAATGCATCTATGTGATGATCTTGCACATAAGATTCGAACATTGTTTGCCATTTCTGAACCAACTGAGGCTCAAATTGAAGACTATGGTCTATATCTTTTGAATCAAATGCTCCAAGAATCAGGAAAAGGTTTAATTGACTTCTCGCCAATGCCACAACCTTCTACAAATTAGAGTGCAGTAGTTGGTAACAGGTTGATATTCGAACATCAACAACTGCATAATGAGGCACAATAGGCAGATGTAGAAATTATTATTGATCGCCTCAACAATGATCAACGAATAGCTTATGATGCAATCGCTTCCTCGGTCTTTGAAAATAAAAGAACTATTTTCTTTTTGAATGGAGGTGCCGGAACAGGAAAAACGTTTTTGTACAATGCGATTGCATTAAAGTGTCACAACGTTGGCCATATTGTTATTACTGTGGCTTCATTTGGAATTGCATCATTGTTATTGGTAGGAGTTTGTACTGCTCATTCAACATTTTCCATTCCGTTGGATGTATTGGAAAATTCAATTTGTGGATTTAGCAAGCAATCATTACAAGCAGAATTGTTTAGAGAAACAAAACTTATAATCTGGGATGAAGTTCCTATGCAGCATAGACATTGTGTTAAGGCAGTTGATCGCACACTTCGAGACACTTGTGATAGTGAAAAGCCATTTGGGGTATCACTGTTGTTCTTGGTGGAGATTTTCGACAAATCTTACCAGTTATAACCAAAAGAGTCTGTGAGCAAATTGTGAATGCATCATTAAGACACTCTTTTCTATTGAAGGATATACATGTTCTGTCTTTAAATTTGAACATGCGCTTGAATCATGCAAATCTTGAAAATGCTAATTTTGCAAAATTCTTGATGGAGAAAATATTTCTTCAAAATTTTTCTCTATTATATGGTTCTTTTAAGTTATAACCAAAGGAGTCCGTGAGCAAATTGTGAATGCATCATTAAGACACTCTTTTCTATGGAAGGATATACATGTTCTGTCTTTAAATTTGAACATGCGCTTGTATCATGCAAATCTTGAAAATGCTAATTTTGCAAAATTCTTGATGGAGGAAATATTTCTTCAAACTTTTTCTCTATTATATGGTTCTTTTAAATTGACGAAATACATTTACGTTTATGTACTTTAATTGATTTTACTTACTATTTTATTTATTTATTTTTATAAATAGATTGGGACCAATCCTCAGGAAATTGTTAAACTTCCATCAACAATACATAAATGCCAAGATCTAAAAGACATAATCTTAGTAGTTTATCCGCAACTGGATGTGGCAATGACATCGACTGCAACATTTTTAACTGAACGTACAATTCTTTCTGCACGGAATGATGATGTCAGTGCTATCAATACTACAACATTGAATATTTTTCCCGACAACACACATACTTATTTGGCAGCAGACAAGATGTCTGAAGATGATGAAATTGATCGTACTATAATAAATAGATATCCTAATGAATATTTAAATTCATTAGATCCTCCTGGGCTACCGGCTTTTAAGGTAGAGTTGAAAGTGGGTTGACCTATAATGTTGTTAAGAAATATTGCACCAAAAGATGGACTGTGCAATGGCACAAGATTGATGGTTTCTAGATGCAATACTCGCATAATTGAAGCTCAAATTTTAACTGGAGAAAAATGTGGCAATTTGGTATTCATACCAAGGATATCCTTGACACCGCCTTCTTCAGAAATGCCTTTCCTAATGAGAAGACATCAATTTCCAGTTCGATTAGCATATGCCCTAACCATTAATAAATCTCAAGGGCAATCTGTGAAATTTGTTGGTGTTGATTTGCGCACACCAGTGTTTAGTAATGGGCAATTGTATGTGGCCCTATCTAGATGCACATCCTTTGATCGTATAAGTGTCCTCCTTCCTAATGATAAGCCAGATTCCACTACAAACATTGTTTATCCTGAAATTTTGTTATAGTGTTACTTATGGATCAAACCACTTTTGTCAAAAGGTACAATTTATTTATTAATAAATTTGTTTCTATTGATTACGAATTGTTATTTTAAAAATATTTTACTATATGTGTCGACTTTTGTAGGATTGGGTTAAAAAATATATGGAGCTCAAAAATATAAATACAACTAGATTGCTTCGATGGGGATGTAACAAGGTAATTTCAATTTGAAAGTGTTTTGATATATATACATATAAATTTTCTTTTGCTAATATACTAACTTTTTTTATTTTCATAAATTAATAGATTGTCGTGCATGCTTCTCACTGGGGATACATACAAGTTGATACGAGGACTTTTTAGAAAGTGGTGAGACGCTCCTAGGATTTCTAAGAAAGAACAAGTTTAAATCTCATATTTATTTTTGTGAAAAGCGTACATATGCTAGCTACGATCCATATTTTGTAAAGTTTCCGATCGATGTGAAATTTATTACTTACAATAGTTTTGTAAAGTCTTTTATCTATGTGAAATTTATAACTACATTTAGATGTATGTTAGATAATATTCATTTGAATTATTGATTTATGCTATGAGTTTGTTTTTGTAAATGTAACACACTAGGTGATATATATTTTTTTGTTTTTTTGTTTTTTCTTCCTAATATGCTCTTGAATTAGGTTAAACAAAACTAATCATATTTTTATTTGGTTATCTTTTTATCAGGAAGGGTGTTGCATTTTCTTTGTATTACAGAACATTGGCTGGTGTGCTTAATTTGTTATTTGGCATTTTTTTTGTATTGCAGAGCATTAGCTGGTGTACTTAATTTGTTGTTTATTTTTTTCTATTGCATAGCATTGGCTGGCGTATTTTGTCTGATTTTTATATAGATGTTTCTGTGTTGTGGGATTTACATTTTGTTGTTTGTTTAAAATCTTATACTTTTATTGTGCTTGAATTTTACGTAGCATTTATGTGTTTACTTTTCACTATTTCGTTTACCTATAAATTTGAAAAATTTATGTTCAAATTGATTTATTCACCAAGTAGCATACAATTTATTTATTTTTCATTTATTTAATTTTCTGCATAATAAACTGACCACCAAACCATAAAAATTGGTAGATTTTAACCATTACATTAAAATTGATACAAAACTATAGTTTTGAGATCTCTCTTCTTTACTTCAATCAAAACTCACTATCTAAAAAAATGTGGATATTGAAATTTATTTGGGTACTGTTATTGGCTAGGATAATAAAATGCTTATTTTCTATTATAAATTGCAAGTGGGTTACATAAACAAAAATACTACAATAGTAAATATTTGGTGATATGATCTTTATTTGCATTTGTGTCATCATACTACAATACTCCAAACTCTTTTAAAAAATCTAATTATAAAATTCATTTGAAAATTCAAAACCATACGGATCATCTATTTATATTTTCACCTCAAATTTTTTTCCCAACAAATTAAAAAAATTACATTTTAACCCAATAATTTTATACTCAATTACATTTTCATATATTAATTGTCACCGTGCCTTTAGGCACGGGCATGCCCTAGTATATAATATATACATATATGTAAACCCTAGATCGAAATCCCTAGAGAGAGATACCTAAACAGAGAGAGCAGCGACGGAGGAGCGGCAATGAGGGAGGATCGGAGGATCGCCGGTGAGGAGGGAGGCGCGGCGGTAACAGATGAAAGAGAGATGGAGAAACCAGTGGCGAGCGAGAGAGAGAGAAAGGAGTGCCGTGTGTGAGTGAGAGGCTCGGTGGTGACGGAGGATCGCCGGTGAGGAGGGAGGTGCGGCGGTGACAGATGAAAGAGAGAATGAGAGACCAGTGGCGAGCATGAGAGAGAGAGGATCGCCGTGCGTGAGTGAGAGGCAGAGGCTGAGTGTGTGTGTGTCTGTGTCAAACCCTAAACAAATACAAGCATATATATATATCCAGGGATAAAACAATAATTTTACCTCGGCGACTAAGCGGGGCGGGGCCGGGACCGGGTCGGGTCCTGGTTTGAAACACCTATCTCCGTCCCCGGCCCGGATATCATTGGGGATGAATTTTTGCATACCATCCCCGGCCCGTAGAGGATATTTTTCGGTGAATAACCACTGAATTCGGGGTCGGCGGGTCGGGTCACCGTCGGGCCGATTTCAGATTGCCATCCCTATCAGTCGCAGAACACACTGCTGCCGTTGTTGAAGAAGTTGACCGATTGCTTAATGCCGAGGCAATCTGGGAAGTGACCTATCTTACATGGTTGTCAAATACTGTTGTCGTAAAGAAGAAAAATGGAACTTGGCGTGTCTATGTGGACTTCATGGATTCAAATAAAGCTTGTCCAAGGATTGTTTTCCGCTCCCCAGAATTGATTAACTCGTAAACGCCACGACACGTCATCAACATATGAGCTTCCTCGATGCCTACAGAGGCTACCATCAAATCGCCATGCATCCGAAGGACCAAGACAAAACTGCATTCCTTACCCCAAGAGGAACCTATTGCTATAAGGTTATGGCTTTTGGGTTGAAGAATGCAGGGACAACTTACCAAAGACTAGTCACTGCCATTTTCAAGGAGCAACTCGACTGTACTATAGAAGTGTACATTGACGATATGGTGGTCAAGTCAATAGAAGAGCAAACTCACCTGGCCGACCTGGAAGAGGCATTCGACATTTTACGCAAGTACAAAATGAAGCTGAACGCTTTCAAGTGTGCGTTTGGAATCGGATCCGGCAAATTCCTTGGCTACATTGTCAATCACCGAGTAATCGAAACCAACCCGAGGAAAATCACAGCAATCTTGGAACTCGGCTCCCCTCGATCGGTGAAGGAGGTTCAAAAGTTGATGGGGATGGCCGCCGCACTCAACAGGTTCACCAGTCGTTTCACAGACCGCTGCCGACAATTCTTTCATACCCTCCGGCAGGGCAAGGCTTTTGAATGGACCTCCGAGTGCGAAGCCGCTTTCAATGGTCTGAAGACCTGCCTTCGATCAGTTTCACTCTTGACAACACCTTCGGCAGGTGACCCGCTCATTTTATATATGGCAGTTTCCGATCGGGCAGTCAACGCCGTACTGATAAAGGAAGAGCTTAGGGAGCAGTTGCCAGTGTACTATGTGAGCAAAGCAATGGTTGACGCCAAAACATGTTGCCTTCCGTTGGAAAAACTCCTCCTAGCCCTCGTCACGGCAGCAAGAAAGCTGATACATTACTTTCAGGGGCATACTATCGTCGAACTAACAGACCACCCCCTCCGGTCAGTACTCCGTAGTGCAGAAGCATCAGGGTGCGTTTCAAAGTGGGCTCTTGAACTCGGCTAGTATGATATTCAATTTCTGCCTAGAACCTAAATCAAAGGGCAAGTGCTTGCCGACTTTGTGGCCGAATTCACTAGGGGTCTTGCCGACTTCAAGTTTGATGAAATACAACCCAAGCCGAACTGAAGAATTTATGTTGGGGACATTTGGCAGCTATTGTGACAACCCTCACCTTTGATTAGTGCTAATCTCTGATTAAGCATGATAAGTAATTGATCAGACCGAAATTCTAAACTGATTGCATGAGTATGCTACCTTAATTGCATTTTCTATCTGTTTGCCATTGATTGATCTATTCATGTTTTAACTTTGAATTGCGAATTGAAGGTCTTATCGGCGAAAGAATCAGAAATTGATTTGTGTTATATGCCAATTAGGATTTATGTAATTTTATGGTAGGTTTAATTAAAATTTGATTTGGAACGATTAAATTAGATTAAATAAAGTTAAATTACATTAGTTGCAATATTTACACAATTGCCACTTAGTAGCTTGATTCAAGACCATTCTTTTTCTAATTCACTCATGTTTGATATGCCATCCATTTCATTTTTGAGACCAAACGTGTGAAAAAGAGAGAATTGGAAGGAAAGAATTGATTCAACAAAGTTTGGCTTGGAACTTAGGAGAAATTGAAGAGAGATTGTGTAATTGAAGCTTCAATACTTGGAATTCAAGACCTAAGGTAGGAAATCATCTTCTTGATTGTGAATTCTAGTTGTATCTTGCATGGTTCATGAGTCATCAGTGATCTAAGTCAAGAATTGGTTTAAAGAGTTGATTTGAGTAGCTAATTCATGCATGCATGTACATGTTCTTGGGATTTTAGGTTGTTTTCATAAAAAACCCCACATGCATGTCCATTTTCTAGTTGTAGTTCATGAATTCATCATGATTTTGGAGGGATTGACTCATTTGATCATATGTTAGAAGCTTTGAACTCAATTGAATACATGCATATTAAATGTAAATCTTATTATTGAAGTTTATTTGAAATTTGTATTTAATTGACTTACCTTTGGGCTTTGATTCTTCAAATTGATCTTCAAAACATGTTATATTATGGGTTTTAAAGTGCTTTCCAGAAATTGACCCAAAATGATCGAATTTTGAGGCTTTTAAGTCGAGTTTCATGCTTGAGGATCAATCTAGAAATTCCAGATTTTGGACCTACACTCGAGCGGAGGACTTCACGCTCAAGCGTACACTCTGAGTACATGCATTTCCGCTCAAGCGTGGAAAGTCACGCTCGAGCGTGAAATGCATATGCCCAGAAGTTCATGTGTTTTACAGTCTGCTCGAGTAAGAAAGTTCACGCTCGAGCGAGAACTTGAGTCTCACGCTCGAGCGGGGGTCGAGAGTCCATCGAGCATGAATTGCATGCATCCAGTACTTTTCATGAAGTTTGCAGTCCGCTCGAGCGTAGAAAGTCACGCTCGAACGGAGCTCCTTTGTCTGCATGTCCGCTCGAGCGTAGAAAGTCACGCTCGAGCGTGGACCCCTGTTTCAGCAAATTTTGAAAAGTGTTTTAAAGTGCATCCTTGCATCCTCTTTCCATCCTAGGCATTCCTAGGCAATATTAAGGCATCTTAATGAGGATATTGATATAGAACCACACCGAGTCAAGATAGGGACTAAGTTGTTGATTCTCGAGTGTATAACTTAGTGTGTGTTTGTT